CCACTGAACCTACAGGCGAGAGAGAACTGTCAAGCTGAGGCAGGATAGGCTGGATGGAGTAAGTTGGGCAGGGCCAGCATTATTGCAACGTCAGCGTTGTGCATATAAAGTGAACCTTTCTGGAGCGCGAGTCATTCGATAGTGAAAGGAATGCCCATGCAACATGGCTAAAACTGAGTAACAGTCAGAGCAGCCAGGAATAAGCGTTCCAACATGCGTCGAGGGGTACTGGATATAATATATTTGAACCGTCAGGCTAGCCGGCACAATACAACAGCAATTCAGATGCTTTTTTACTCAGAGGAATAATGTAGGATCAGTGGAAATGATAGCTAAGGGCGAACTGATTCTCAAGGCTAAGGCTACTTCGTCATACGCACCCCTCTACCTTTTCTGAACGGCATAAATCTGGCACTCAGGCACTAGACGAGTAAAATGGGGCCGCAGACCCTAGAAGATCGCTGCTGAGATTCCAGGATTCTTCTCTTAGTAGGGAATGGCGCAAATTGGAAAGATAACGAGGGCTGAAACCATGAGGCATCACCGAATACTTATAATAGTGGTGTAACGAGTTGTTCACTTATTCTATACCGTATCTTGTTAGGACGGGAAGTTAAAAACGTATTTAATGACATCTAATCCCTTGGTTCACGATGAATAAGTTCCGAGTCCCAAGGTGTTTTTTTTTTCGACAGCGTCAGAGTGCAACCCCGAGTGCCGGCATAGAAATCTTCCCAACATTGACCATAGTTGGAAGATTGTTTCGATAGGTATCAGTAGTTTCGGTGGCTTACTAACCATCGGTGTTGGCAAGCCGATAGCCGCATACAATGTGTCTTGTAGACGATAAAGAGAATGCTCAGCCACGATGATGGAGGCAAGGCTCCGCAGTTCTGTAATGCTTCTAAAACTCACTGGAGCGCCCCAAAGAATGAGTCTATAAATCCCATCAACAGATTGCGGGGCAAGTCATCCAACCTAGAAGTTCTTTTTAAGGACAGGCAGCGAATGGTGGTGGCGGTTTCTTCAACGGTGATCTCGTTGAAGCTCAGGGGGTAAGTCGTCCCAGAGGTTGCGTGTGGGCCATACGACGCGCGGATTGAACGCTCTTAGAAGATGGAATAGACTTTGCGACTCTCACGACCTTGTCTTCGAAAATATTTCTATTTTCGTAATAAACGCTCATTAATCCCGATCAACGGACACGAAACGCACGCCAATGGTCCAGCAGTGATGGGCAGTCAACCTCTGCGGCCATAACCTTGGCCTGATGTGACTGATCAGCTCGTGCTATGTAGCTTTCAAAAGCAATGTAATATCTTGAGTTATCTACTGGACACGTACGGTGGTCTATAAGCGTCCTCACACTCGATCAAAGACAAACCTCGAGCGAAGCATAGCAGAGATACAAGGCAGACAATAATGCAATTGATTTCCTTACTGAAGAAGGTAGGCGAGGTTATCCAAAAGTCTATAATTGAGTATCTAGAATCGAAATACTTTTTCGGAAAACTTTTATGGAAAGAGGACCGAGAATCGAGACAACTTTGGAAGGTGTGTAACCTTGGAGATGTTCGCGGCGTCCACGAAGTCTGCCTAGCCTGGTAGCTCTGTGAGGGCTTCGATTGAACCTTAGGTAATATAAAGTCATCGTGGACCCAGTCATATTCTTTGATTGCTTTAGTCACAATGGTCTGCGGAGTCGGAATCGCTTGCTTGGAGCATTGCAAGCTCACATTTGACGATTACCATTTGGCGACTCGGATGTTGAAGAAGGTGAACTATCCTGGCAACAGCATGTCCTGCCATAGAATGGTATCCCCGGAAACATAGGAAAGCTTAGATACGGTGGTGAATGTCGAGAGAGAGAGTATTGCTATGAGGCGAGGAAGCGCAGATTGGGTTTGCAATGCGAAGGTTCATTAATGATATTTGGTAGAAGTGTTGTTTCCCGAAAGTTTCTTGTATAGGATATAATAAGTAGTTCCCCAACAGAGCAATGAGTCTGGTAGCCAACGTATTATTACTTTTTTTGCTCGACATTCGGTATTTCCAGAAGAGAGAGTATATTTTCCCTTTGAGAAGAATGTTTTCCTTCCAGCTCAGTCGCTTGGTGCTCGTCAATGGTACCCAAAGCCTTTGTGTTGCTAATATAGGCATCCATTTGTTGGCGTGCCTCAGATTTGAACCGCTGCTGAAACTACAAGGTTGAAAACAGGCATATAAAGTATCTTCTGACTTGGTCTTGTGTTATTATCTTTAATGAGTTTTTCGGCGGTAACATTTATTGCCGTGTGTATAGATTCTACGACTAGTAGTATAAAGCCAATGCTAAGAGCTTGTGTTTGGCCCAGTCGATCAAGAGACAGCGTGGAACAAATGGAACAATAACGACAGGGGGCGCAATGCTTATCGTTCTCACTGCAGACCGACCTCTGTTGATAAGATACACAGGATTCTTCTGTCACCCAGATGCAACGAGGACACTTTGCCCGAGGTGCCCTTCTTTTGTCATTGATTTCACCGCACTCTTTGGGAGATGATCTCCATAGCGGTCTCTTATCCAACCTTGAAGCCCAGACGCTTAGTATGTTCATTGATCTTAAGGTCTCAGTTCAGCATTAAGATACTTCCTGACCACTGTTCTTTAAGGTGTATTCTCCGACTGCGATGCATAAGGATTCGATGGACGTCCTTGTCTTGGACGCAGAAGTTCTGGTTGCTGAGAATTATTCCTTCTTTTTCGATATGGTAATCTTTGAGAAGCGTGTTTTCTATTGGTAGACCCCGTTGATCAAGGCTTGAGGGATATGGTGGAAATATAAACAAAGAGGAGAGAGGTATAAGTTCTTTTCAACAACTATGCAATAGTCTTTTTGCCCTAGGATAACTTGTCAGCACTTGAAGGTACTGCAGATAATGGTACTGTCCAAGAACCTAATTGTTGTTTTTCTTCGTCTCCCATTATACGTTGCCTCGACGCTTCAATTTCTTTAAAAATACACTTTCTGCTTATTGAGGTGTGTACTTAAAAATTTCTTTGGTGTTTGTATGAAGTTATAACTTCGGTATTTTCTGTTTTCCACAATTGGAACTCCATGTAGGCTATAGCCAGATAAGTCATCAACTTCAAGTATTTGGTTGAATCAAACTGTGGTTGTTGCCAATATTTGAACAAAACATTGCAGCCCAATTTTGGGTTCTATTTTGAAGTTTTCTGATATATATTAATTCTTTTTGGATTCATTCCTGTTTTAAAAGGTCTTATTTACATGTCAGCTTATTATATACGTATCATTCCGTCAAATCTAATTTATTTTTAGGTTGTATTATTTCAATATTTCTAATAATTAGGCATTTACATTGGCGACTTTGATAGGATCACGATCAATTCCTTCCTCGCCTAGAAGACCCTTTTTTAATATGGAATACGGAAGTATGACATTCATATTTAGAATTATTTTTAAGAATCAGTATATTTAGGGGCTTAAAATGGCTTCGAACTATCAAAGGTGAAATGAAAGTCTTCTACTTCCTTATATCCACTCAATAATTAGGGTATCAAGTTGTGACCCTTGATGGTGTCTCTTTGACAACCATCATGACTGGGTGAAGTAGAATGTGTCTGCCTTTGTCATTAAGACTGAGAGCACTACTCAGTGGCAAGCCGACTTAGCTCCAAAAGAAATGGCCGCCTCTGACATGAGGAACAGACACCATGTGCAGCTGCTCCTAACATGGAGTACAAACGCTGATCATCCTGTATCCCTGGAGCCCTTACAGGGTACTATCAGCCGGGCCAGCTGAGCCCAGGTTTTTTAGCGAGCTTGTTACTGTTCTCCCTCCTCCTTTTTCATCCGGGCTTGGGACCGGCAAAGGCGGAGTTGAAATGAAAGTGAGAAAGGAGAATGCATAAAAAAACAAAGATAAACTTTCAGTTCTGCTTCATTGATTATAATCTAATACACATTTTACTTATAACGTTTTCATCACAAACATATTTATCATATTTTCACTATATAGAAAAATTCATGGGATTTCGAGCAAAATTGTTCGTCACACATAACGAACGTAATTACCTTAACGAAGGCAAATGTTAGATGCCAAGTTATTGAAATATTCTAGTTGAAAAGCAATATTGTACGAAAACTCGAGAGAACTTTTGTATGTCATGTAAATATAGTATTTGTGCGAAGAGATTTTGAGTTGAAAATATATAACATTGCCTCTTCACCTAAATGGGGTTGTTGTAAGAATGGTATAAACAGTCGTTTATCGACAGACATAACCTGGGTTCTCCACCTAAATGGAATTTCTTTATTCTCTTTATATTTTGGGTTTTATTATCGGTTATGGCAATTCGCTCAGGAAATATATACACTACCTGAGAGTCAGGAGGAGAGCAATGCTGACAAACCAGCCAAGTCGAAACCTGGTGTGTGTAACGATATCGAATGAAATCAAATATACTCATGGACTAACTTGAGAAAGTGGAAAGTTCTTAATGTTGTTAGACGTCTATGTTTCTTTTTTTTTAAGGAGTCAGAGGCAATTTTGTTCACACTTATTTATAAAATAAAAGGATTTAAAAGCGCGTATGTTTCTTCCATACATAAAACGAACTTCTACTGTCCTTACTGCGATGAAAAAATATATTGGGAGGGCTTGGCTCATCAGTGGTGAACCCTCCCAGCGGTTTCGCCAATTTAATCCACCAGACCGCTTCTCAGAGCTCTAATACTGTATTGGATCATTCTGCTTTTATATGCTACACTGAAGGATGGAATCTTAGAAAAGGTTTTCAAGTAAACTATGGACATAAGCTTATAGGACAGTAGATTTACATTCAAATACACACTTATTTATCTCATGTATCTTCAATTGAGGTCATTGTGTATCAAATATATTTTAGAAATGTTGTCTGAATCCCGATATACATGCTGAAAGGTAAAAATTCCTTATGTTTTGTTTATGAGTGTAATTCAGTCTTTCAGTTTAGATGCCTACACGGTACCCGGTGTTCACAGGTGGTCACCCTCCCAAATACTGACCGGGCTCGACGTTCCTTAACTTCGGTAATCTGACATATAATGGTGTTTTCAATGTGGTAAGGACGTAGGTTCATTCAGTTTAGAGTGTTAGGTGTCTTTTGACAAAGGACCAGTATGGTAGTTACTTCCAGCCTGGACCTGAGAAGAGTTGAAGTGGAGTCTCCAAGTTTAGGAAAACAGTCCCAAGGTCGGCGGTGTCTGGGAGATTCCCCGCTACGACCTCCGAGGTATTGCGCCGTCTCTCCCCCGCAGTTTTATTCCCTCGTAAACTGACGTCGGGCCAGCCAAGGATGACCCTTGGTCAGGCTTTGTACCATAGTGACAAATATCTTGAAAGTCAAGAGATACCAACTCTCTACAAATTATTTGCTTGATCAGGTGGAATAGTAATATAATTTTATTCGTGATCGAACGTTGTGACCCACTGTACATATTACACCCCAAACACAATGCGACACCAGCCATCTCTGTCTTGAGCTCAATGTACCATCTCGGTGACCGTTAAGCCAGTGAGTTCCTTTAATTGGTCCACGAAGCGTGTCGATGAGCGTCCAGGTATGTGTCGCCCAGACGTCTTTCCGGTCAGTATGGTGTACTCCAGTCCCCTGAGTCGCGCGATGTGACCGAAGAATCTCAAACAATTCCGTTGTAAACGCCACAGAAGTCGGTCATCTTCCGAAATCGATAGTTGTGATAGTATCGATGCATTCGTCTTACACCCTGTCTAGGGTATACGAAGCATTCTTCGCCAACAGCTATATCTCATATGCATCGATTTTCTTCTCTAACGATGATGTTATAGTCCATGACTCTGAAGCATAAGCCATGTGGAATAGCCATGTGGATAATCAGACTTTATAATCCGACTTTAGACAACCATCTATCCTTAATCCATTCATGTATACAACTATAGAAATGCTTGATAAAGCATAATTTGGATTATAGATTATAGCTACAAGGTATTAAGACCAAATTTAAATAAATTAATAGTGTGTGACGTTTCTGTAACAGCGCTGTTACTGAAATTTCACACACTATTAATTTATTTGGATTAAGTCCTATTTTCTTTTTGCTATAAAGATGCCTGTTGATCATGTATATTTCTGTCAATTATACTAATTATTGTTATCAAGAAAAATAACTGCTTGTATATATGTGTATCAATTGATTATTATTATTTACTTATATATGTGTATGTTAAGCCCTTCTTTTCTTTTTTCCCTTATTCGATACACTGTAAATAACCTTTCTGTACTGGCACTATTACTGTTATAACAGGGTTTACCCTAAATTACATTATATTCTTTATAAGACCAAAAGTCTTAATAAAACTTTTTCTTGTTGTTATAATGTGGATATCTAAAAAAAAAAAAGATAAAAGCTAACACACTGCGACGAATTTATTTTATAGAAAAGGTATACGCTTGGCGAACTCTTAGACAATAACGTCCATCAACAGGCTAAATACAAATACTCGAGTATTTATATTCAACCTGTTAAAGGACGTTTATGTTCAAATATTCTCCAAGCTTTTGCCTTTCCAATAAGGAAACTCACTTTGAAAAAATCAGGGTGCTCAAAGCAGGCTGATGCCTGGATATTGGCGCATGGAATAATGGAATAGGGACCTCGCCTCTATTTTATTGGTTTAATTTTTAGACCGCTGCAAGACAAACTACTGCGAAAGCATTTGCCAAAAATGTTTTCATTATTCAAGAACGAAAATAAAGAAACTGGTCGCTGTTAGTTTTTATCCTTTCCTAGAAATGAAATCCTGCAATTCCTCCTATTGTAATATAAGATAATGCATGGTCTCTTTTCTCGTTTCTATAATATTGTCATTGAATTTACTCACTCATCAGACAAAATTCGAATATTTTCATCTTCAATCTATTAATTGTAATAAAATGTCCTATTTTGTTTTGTTCTTTTTTTTTTTTTTTGCTTATCCCTAGTACACTGGGTACAGGCCATGCTAATCGTGGTGGGTAGAAGTAGGCGACTGCTTTTACTGTAAGTGCACCACATGTCTACACATGTAAAAAGCAGTTCGACTTTGCACTTACAAATGTGCCAGAGCCCTGTTTGGTTACTTGTACTCGCTGGTGAGGTTGGACTTTTGCAAGAATCGGGGGCCATTGGAGCATTTATTTTTTAAACATAAAAAAAGTGCTCAATGCGGGAATCGAATCGGGTCGTAGCGGTCGAAAACCAACGGTTTAGACCATCCTTTCAACGACATAAATAGTGATGAATAATCCTATATCCTATATGTGTTGTCTTGTTTTTTAAGCGGAAGAATTGAACTCGAAAACTATATAAAGATATGTATAGAATCTATTCATTTTTAGAACCCTCTTTTCAAACTCTTATTAAACCCCATCATCAGGAATAAACCAGGAACAAGTTGTAGCGATCTATTTGAATAAATTGGAGAAATCTCTGAGAAGGTTATTATTGATGAGCCAATGGGGGACTACGAATAATTCCTCACTCAAACAGCAGAATAATGCAATGATGCAAGTATAGACAACAAACATCGCACATATAAATATTTTTAAAAAAATAGATCATATCCTGACCGCTTATATAAGCTTTTCAGATGGCAGAGCGTCATCTACTGAAACAGAAATCAACTGATTTAGCCGTTGATTTAACCTATTCCTTGATATTTGGCCAAACCATTTTATTAAATAATCAAGAGCGCCATCTAAAAAGCTTGTGTAAATGGTCAGGATATGCCTATTTTGTTTTAATATCAACACCTGACCTTTTATTCTATTTAAAATTTTTTTTTCCACATATGAATACCCAAACAAGAATAACATTCTGTTGTCATTTTTCCAGGTAGTTGGCCTTCGGCGCTACAGGAACCCAAGTTTTATGTCAACTTTCTTTTTATGATCACCGAATGAGACTCATTAAAATATCAGCATTGTTGACATAGTGCAGATATACTGATGGCTTCCAAGAAATCCGTTTTACTGTTAGAAGAAACCTGCAAAATTTATTTATTTTTTTCTTGACGAAATTGCAATCTGTAGTTATAGATAAGTTCTTCGCTAAATCTTGGGTACATTCCAAAGTTTGGTAAAATGTTGTATAAATAGAGAGATCTGATTTTTTGACTGTGAATATCATTATCTCGCAATTTTTCAATACACTAAGGTCTAAGAGGATGGACTTTCAAATCGTCAAAATACCATAACTTCTCCTGTAGGATGGATGTCACGAAATCGTAGCCACCACTGTACTGTTAATTACTATTGTCTAAAATTATGGTTTACCTTTCTGCTTTTGTTAGAATTTGTTAGAGTTGGTGTTATAGATTATCCAATAACTCAAATATTCTTGATCTGCATAGAGGAGTTAAAAAGATTTTGTTTTAATTAACTTATTATGAACATATTTATATTGAAAATAGAGCAATCCATAAATATTTTTCTATCTTTCTACAAAATCTGGATCTCTAATGTTTTCATGCGTTGAATAATGTAAATAACTTATGTAAATAAACTTTTCCCCTTGTTTGGCGCAAGTATCCCTTGCGGGATATAGAGCTTTGGAAATAAAATAATTGTAATTGTAATAAATAAATATTTAATTAAAAAGACATATATTGGATAAAAATATTGGTAAAATAAATGTTATTTCGATCCAATATATGCCTTTTTAATTAAACATATTTATATGCATTCTTTAAAATGGAGATATACCTTTTTTGCATATTGTCCAAATATCATAGCAGTTTTTTGCTCTAACATAATATTACGATTAAGAAAAAGGCATCTCCTTATCGTTAAACTGAAATTTGCTGATGGCTTGCGCCATCTGTCGGAATAAATATCAACTATTTGTTGATTTTTTAAATTATTTCAGAATTGACCTAATACGAGTTTTTTTGGTCGTTTAAGTACAGCTTGCACCACGCTGACGAGGGCAAACAGCCCGAACGCGGACATGGTTAGCTTTTATTGATTGATTTTGAGAATGGGTATTTGACCAATTCTGGAATAATTAAAAATCAACGAATAGTTGATATTTATTACGACAAATGACGAAAGCCATCAGCAACTTTCAGTTGCACGATAAAGAGATGCCTTTTTCTAAATTTATTCACCTGATCCCAGTATAATTTCACATTTGTACTATTTTTTCATATAATATTACGAGTTTAAAGATGTGTTCAGTTACCCATGTACTCCTAGAGGTTTTCTTTATTATCCCTAGTACACGTGGTACAGGCCATGATAATCATGGTGAGTAGAAGTTGGCGACTGCTTTTACTGTAAGAGCACCACATGTGAAAAGCAGTTCGACATTTGCACTTACAAATGTTCCAGAGCCCCGTTTGGTTACTTATACACGCTGGTGGGGTTGGTATTTGCAAGAATCAGGGGCCATTGGAGCATTTTTTAATATTAATTATAAAAAAAAGTGTCCAGTACGGGATTCGACCGCGGGTCGTAGCGGTTGAAAACCAACGATTTAGACCATCCTTCCACCTACACCCATAGGATCAGTGTGTTATGGTAAAATATAATGAAAAGACATCTCCTAATTGTGACATTTTATGCTACAGGTGGATTACTAACATCTATAGAAAATATATCAGCTATCTGTTAGTTTTCATTTATTATACTAAGTTTCGGGAGCCATTGGAGCATTTTTTTTTTCATAATATTAAAAAAAAATTGTCCAAGGCATGAATCGACCCCGGGTCATAGCGGTTAAAACCCAATGGTTTAGAACACTCATCCACCGACCCTCTCTCCTAGAATAAATAACTCAAATGATCAATATCACTTGGTAAAACATTCATTCAAACTGAGATTAAACGTCTAAATTTGCTCATGTCGATCATCATCAGTAACTTTCTCTACTCTCAATTTAATTTTAAATAATTGAGTGATTTATGTCATTTACTCTGATATCTCATCAGTTTCAACTTTTATTTGACAAGTTAATCAAAGTGGTTTGATGAGTTTCTTTATCTTAGATAAAGAAACTCATCTCAAGAAGCCCCTGTGTAACATTTTATTGATTAATATCCAGGAGATTTGAAT